ATCCAGTTTTTGGCCTGCTGAGACTGTGTGGCGAAGCAAACTCCTCCCCGCATTCTTGCCTACAAATTCCACCTGACCAGGCTATGCAGCCGGTGTAGCTACCCACAAACCCCGTGTTGCTCCCAGGGACCAATACCAATGTCTGGCAGTAGCACATCCATCCCTTGCTGCTCTCTAGAACCGATACCAATATCCGATGGACCTTTTTCGAAGCGCACCTGCCCTTGTTGCTTCCAGGAACCGATCTCAATCACTGGCAGACTGCACAACTTCCCCTTGTTGATTCTTCGGATGCTTTTCCCCCCCCCCGTTTTTTCTCGGGATCAACATCAGTAACTGCCATACCTTCTCAGAGCACACCCTCTGCTTGTTGCTTCCTGGGACCAATACCAAACTAGCGGAACTTTTCACAGCACACTCGCCCCTTCTTGCTTCCTGGGACCATTACTGCACCATTCTTCGTCAACTCAAATGGCATGGACTCTACTGCGCCATGCCATAGCATTTTTCCCCCGATGAGGCCATGATGCCACATGTGTACCAACCACTGGGAAAGGGGCTACCGTAGGTTCACTTCTCAGGAGCTACCGAAAGACGGGCCAGCCCAAAACCATATTCTTCTCTGCTCACCTGCCAGCTACTCCCCCGACTACTACGGCCAAAATGTTCTTTCCCATTCCTGTTCCCCCAGATCTGCTTCACCGCACAGCTTACCGAATACCACGCGACAGTAATTTGGCAGACGCTATATGCCTGTACGATCCATGCGACCAGTGCCGTCAGCAGATGCAAGACTGTGAGAACTGCAGACAGCCAAACGACTCATCCATGCTTTGTCAAGCATTATTGTCCCTGAGTTCCGCATGAACAGAGGAGGACAGTTGTCAAGACAGTACGTGCGCGCCCCTTATTGCCAGGAGCATCAGCGTGCAAGCGAAAAAAATGCGAAAAAATTTCAGAAAAGAAAATCCTGATCTCACGGGCACATCTACATTTTGATTCAAGCAAGAAGACAAAACAGCACAAAAATTCTAACCGCACCCATAGCTCCAAAATCACAGCTCCACTTCTTCACTCAAACAATCAACCAAAGCACAGACACCCGTTTACTCTCTCTCTCTCTCTCTCTCTCTCTCTCTCTCTCTCTTCCCCCCCACCCCCACCCCCTCCTCTTTCCCTCTTCTTGCTTGGAAGCCAAGTACAATATCCAGGCCGAAGCGAATTATACCGGAATAAGTAAGGAGCACTAAGAACAAAGCAGTATCTTTCTGTACAACTGGGGAGCTGAAAGTGCATGATCCTGATAACTAAATTGCCTCTTCTTCATTGAACATAGTTTTCGCAACTTGTTGGCCTTCGGATTCTAATCATTCTATGTTTTGCTGGATGGATCTGCCACAGACGAAACCACAGCGTACATGGAGATACATGCTGTAGTTTACCAACACACTTGCTTTCCCTGCGGCTGGTGTCAGTCATCTGACATTGCAGATCCATCAGCTGGTGTCCGAAAGAGCCATGCTGATGACCGATCAGCTGGTGTGCGAAATAGCCCCGACAAAGCCACATGCAGGACTACATTTTCAATCTCTGATCAACTGACCCGGTGGTGCGCTCAATCATATTGCCACCTCTCCCAAATTCTTATTTTTTCCTTTTTAGATCCACTGCCACCATGGACAAGCCAAGCCCCACTTTCACGTGGCCAAGCCATCACCTTCTACTGCAACCATCAAGCTCCTTTCCTAACAAGGGGGGGAAAAAAACAATTGCGTGGGATGGCCCGGATCCAAAGAACTGGGAGCAAATCCCATCAAAGTGATAGACCACTGCACCCTCTAAGAAAAAAAAAAAAAGAATGCCCAAAAAATGAAACTGCAGATTTCGACGAAAACTCAAGGCTAGTTCCCCACTGGAGTGATGCAGTCATACCCAGACATGGGGAGGAGGAGGAGGAGGAGGAGGAGGAGGAGGACATCAGGGCCAGGGCAACACACAGGCTTAAGTGGAGCTCAGCTTAAGCAACAGGACTCGTGCAGTGCAGCTATCCATTATATGTTGTCCACTGCCACAACGACCTAGTTCCACCCATCTTCAGTAAAATGTGTGTGCAGTGTCAGCAACCGTACGATCCGATGCAGTGCAATCGAGTCCATCACCCAGCTGCTTAAGTCAAACTCTGCGCAAGCCTCGGTGTGGCCCAGCCCTAATTTCTCAAGCAGGGTTTCAAATTACACAGTGGGTTGGGGGGTCCTGCACCCCAAATTTTGATTCAGTACGGTAGTAGTAGTATTTGAATAACCTATACGGGCTAGGATTCACTGCATAGCTCCAAAGCTTCAAATCAAATCTGATCTTATGCAAACATCTGCTACGTACCCCCAAATCAGACGGGAAAATTCTACTCAGAACCTCTCAGCAGTAAACCCTCGCCCAACCAGAAGGTAAAAGGCGCCTTCCAATTAAGGCACTTTATAAGTAGAAACTACACACACACACACACACACACACATAGAGATAGACACAGACAAGTTTTTCTCAGAACTTTTACTAGTGATTGCCAGGGACAAGACAAAACCACCTCTTTTGATGTTACCAAGGCAGAGACATGTTCATTGATCTTGCACTGATCCCAGATGCGATGGCCCCCAATGAACCCAAGAGATCAATCTCTCCGTCAAATCGCATGTGAAGATTTCTAAGACAGCAAACAGCAACTGGACGGGGAGAAACACAAGGAAGCACACAAAGTCACGCAAAAGTAACCGATTCTCCTTCTCCCACTGCTCACTGCTTACACACTTGGTGACACATGGTACTACTTGCTATCGCCACCAACCTAACATCGAAATCTACACCTCGGCATCACCATGACAGGTTTTTCCTCGATTGCCAGAATCTCGTCAGGATCAAGTGATACCCATCTTACAGCTCACATCTTCGTGCTTCTCACATGAGGCCTCGTGATGATGACTGATCAGCGCTGAATAACTACATAGCTGGACCACTGTCTCAATGACTTGCAGTCATCCTCCGTCACAGCTATATCAACCTTACTCCCATGTCTGGTCGCACCCTTCAGGAGTGGCCTGCAGAATCTCCATTCCAAATTTGCACACAAGAGCCCTGGCTCGTCATATCATGTCAGTCAGCAGCAGCAGTCAGCTTGGCACCGCGAAGTTGTCATTTTGCAAACTCCAGTACTTGAAACCCTGTCTGATAATCCAATCGCATAATACGAGGTGCTGTCCTTAATTGATCATAAAACTCGGCACGATTTCGGCTTCCGAAGCGACCATATGCAGACATGGTCGTAAAACTGGTGGCATCCGACGTTAACATAAGGGGCCAGTCAGGAGGGCGATGGGCAAACCGATGTGCATGCCCATGTTATCACAATGCGAGCAGTCTTTTTACTCAAAGAAGAAGATAGATGAGCAGTCAATAAATCTTACTGGCCCTTGAGATATCCTACCCTGGCAGGCGATCAGTCTTACTGGCGCTCAACCACATCCTACCCCCTTCTCGGCTGGAACAAGGTCCCCAACCACTCCACCATAGATGCAACATACTTGACGATTTCCGGAGGATGAACAACCAGTACATGGCGCCGGGGAACTTGAGAACAACGATCGCAGCTCGATCCGAAAAATTTGAGGACCAGAATGGCTGGCGGCGGCAGCCAAATTGAGAACAAAAACGCCAAGCTGGCATTTCGACAAAGCTAGGCGTGCCGGGGAATCCGCCTCGTAAAGAAGAGACGCGGATGTACTGGTGGTTTAATGAATGCGAAGAACCCAGTCAGGGGAGGCGTACTGTTGACATCAAAAGAGCAGAATTCGTGCCCAATGCAGTGTTCAGATGTTGTGTACCAGGATGACCTCCTTCCTAAACTAACAGCATGTCGCGATCATCATCACTGGTTAACAAGCAAGCCACTGGTACCAGTGAATGCCATGGGACGCCTGCAAGGTACCTTATCATGCAAATGTCCCACAAATATTGCTGGGACATGTGGCTTGCTTCTTAACCTGCGGACCATCAGGAAGTACCGGTGGTTTAAGCGACAAAGAGATCAAAGATGACCTCTATTGGTAGAAAGAATAAGCAGCGCTTATGCACTTCCATTGTGATCCCCAGGAAAAACCTATTCCACGACTCCTCACCTAATTAAAGAGGTAAGAGATGAAGTAAATACCCCTGGTCAATATAAACAGAACTACAAGTTCAATGCGATGCCGATGGTGTCAGCAAAAACAGCGACAATGATTTATTGTCATCAAAGTTGAGCACCAAGCCTCCCTCTTCAGTACTGGATACCTGCTGCTTGTCTTCCCCATAGTACGCCTGTCTGGGGCCAACCTCGCCCTCATATGCCCATAACCGGGAGGCTTGACTTCCCGTGGCAGAACACCCATTGGGAGCAGAAGACTTGAAGAAGTCTCTATCTACCCATTGGGAGGAGAAGATTTTTACGAACGCTCTATCTCGCAGGAATAAGGAGCCAACCCACCATGTTGCGAATCTTAACCCCTTCACCATTGACCAATCTTAGCAGCCTTCATCGTCAAAGCATCCAGCAAGTCCTGAGAACCAGTCAGTGCAGGGAACTGTCATCTTAGCCTGACAGATGTATTTTTTGGTCGATAGCAGAGCAGAAAATCGCTATGTTCCATACCCCAATTGTCAGTAAAATGACCTGTGACTTGTCAGAATGACAAACCCACCTGTGGCACAGACCATAAGCTCGAAGATCGACAATGTGCATGCAAAGGAAGAGACTGCTATGATTGAGAGGGTGTTCTGCTAACTCAGTCCTTCGGAGAACCATCTTCCTAACTCCTGACCAATCCAGATTTCAAGCAGGACAGTGAAGATGAAAGTATACCCACCGACAAAACAGCATAGCCATGGTCACTTCTGAGTCCCAGCACCATCACCCTCATTTTGATCTACCTTTCCTTCCTGCACTCATCATTGATGTTCCAAGTGCAGGCCACTTCTGGATGCCTCTTTCTGCTGCTTTTCCACTTGCCTGACCTCCCTCCACCACAACCACCTTTTCCTCCTCAGAAGGGGCACCCTTGATACACCTGTTCGAGTCCGAGCCCTCAACTGCAGATCTACACTTGATAGGGCCCCATCTTTCTTCCCCCTTCACTGTTAGAGCAGATGGCGAGATATCACTCACTTCCCGTGGGTGACTACAGCTTGAAGGACTCGCTCTCCAGTTGCCCGACTGTGACCCATTGCTTGCCCACCCCCTCCACCCTGTTTGAGGAGGTGGGGTTAGCCAGGAGGAGGAGGAGGAGAAAGATGACAAGCCAGGATGCCCACTTGCGGACGGAGATGGCTCAGATGGCGTGGAACGGTTTGCCTCCTGTGCCCTGGCAGAGGATAGTGTTTGCACATCACATCTCCCTGATTCTTCCTCTGTCACGGTTGTTGCAGAGGTTGCAAGGGTAGGATGTGACGCCTTTGCCCATGCTGAAGCCAGGACCTGGGCCATTGATGGTTTAGGCAAGCTGGCAGGGGCGCCGTCCCCTTCACCTGAAATAGGTAGCCTCGGGGACCGAATATTCCAGCAGTTTTCCCGAGTTCGTCTTTCACCTTCCTTCAGAATCTCTGGCATAGGACGACCGTCCTTGCCACTTGCATTTGATCCTTCCTGACTGCCACATGGTACCCTCTTTGCAGCTGCTGTTCTTCTTCCAACTGCATCAGCCTGAGCAGCTTGCTCCGCATCCACAGGAGCCATCCGAGCATCCGCACGGAGACTGTCAGACCCTATCGACCTTGCCTTGGACTCCGACCGACTGCTGCCTGCCAGCACGGAAGCCGCTGTCACACTATCAGAGCCTCCGCTTCTCCTTCCCCAAGAAATCCCACCTCCCGCAGCCCCTCCCTGGATTGACAAAGTGGCACACTTCTTTACTGAAAGCGCACCTGTCAATCCCACAGAAGTCCCAGGTTTGCATCCAGCTTGAGATGCTGTCCTTGTTGACGGGTCTTGTTCCCCGCATGCAGGACGACCGTTTGAAGACAGCAACTGGCTCTGTTGAATAGCTGCTGGCTTGCTGCTGTGAGAATTTCCTCCTTTTGAGATTGCCAGAATTGGTGCCTGCAATGACGGCCAACTTGATTCATCCTCTGGAGTTGAGGATAGAGTAATTGAGGGTGGCGGAAGCGGTACACCGACGCATGGTGGCGAAGGAGAGGATGTACCTGAGGACGAAGGAGCAGAGGGAAATGAGGCAATGACACTCTGAGGAGAACTGGGTGATGACGTCATTTGCCCAGCTGTAGAGGATACCGATGAAGCATAGCTGAACGGATGGTCCTCAGCTGCAGTCACGGATGCAGGCTTAAGAAGTGGCAGATGAACAGATAATGAATGGGTTAGGGAATCCTTACTTGCTGATTTCACTGGCTTCATCTTATGAAAGGTTACTGATATTCTCTCCTGGGGAACACTGGGAACACAATATTTTGCAATGTCAGCAGCATTGCCATTCATAACCAGAACAGACCTGCAGAACACACCGGAGAGAAACAGGACACAATGCAACACTAATCAAACTTCAGCAATGCTGAGATGGAAATGGGGGCAGGCGTTGCTGGCAGGGAAACATGGGCAGTACTACCGCGAAGCACTGCCCCAAGTTGCTACACCTCCCCTTTCCTCTCTCACCAACCCTACTTTAGTCGTGTCTGATGGCCAAGATTGTTGTTGAATTGCATTCAACAATATACTGGCTAAGGTCCTGTTAATGCTGGCCACACACTGTTCGTGACACTCCCTGGAGTTTCCGCATTCATATGTCATTCATATACCACAAGTAACCAAATGTAATAAATCTGATCATTTCTGATGTTTTTTTTTTTTTTTTTTTTTTTTTTTTTTTTTTTT